CTAGTTCGTGATGTAAACTGTATTTGCCTCTCAGTATGAGTCACGGTCAAAAATATTTGTGAGCGAAATTTCTTAAATAGGCATTTATAGGAAGAAAAGACTCTGTCTTCCCTTCATGACTCACTCTCTGACTTTGCTTTTAAAAGAAAAGCTTTTGTTTAATTACAAAATCAAAACCTGTTCATTGCATAAATTTTAGAAAGCACAAATAAGCAAAAAAAAGAAAAGAAAAATATCCCACAATCCTACTATGAAGAATGGCATTAACATATAATATATTCACTATATTTTGGGGGGCATATATTTATAAAAGTCTTTAATGTTTTTTTACTAAAATTAGAACACTATTGTGAATATAATTACAAAACCTTCTTTTATTTACTTACTGAGTTGTCAGGACTTTTCCATTGCACAACCTTCCACAACTCTGTATTCACACTAGCCACATAAGGTTTTCTAGGGCTCTGCCTGTATCGCATTGTCCATTATGGGAGCCACTGGCCACTTGTGATTGTTTAAATTTAAATTTAAATTACTTTAAATAAAATCAAATGCTCATTACTTTAGTTACACTATCCACATTTCAAGTGCTCAATAGTCACATTTGGCTAGTGGCTATTACATTGGACAGTACAGAGATAGAACATTGTCATTAGCATAGAAAGTTCTATTAGACAATGCTAGATTAGGACCATGTCACAGTTTTCCTTTCTTAAATGCTGTCATCACACCAAACCCATAGATGCAACACGTATCAGAACGAAACATAGTGGAAGTTTCTTGATGTTTGGTTGGGAGGCTTCTAACTGTTCCCTTGCAAGGGAAGACATTGCAAACATGGCCACCAGCACCAGCTTTAGACCAGAGTGTCCATTTGCCCACACTTGGAATTTGATCTCCCACTACAGCATAAAATTTCAGCCAACATTGCTTTCTTAAAATACAGTATGTTTAAAGAGTTTGTCTTCTGAAAGAGATACTCTCTTTTATAAAAATCCATATATATATTCCTAATTGAAGGTTTATTTGAGAAAATAATGCTATCCTTTTTATAATGTCTTTTAAGGAAAACATTATTAAATTGAATAGAAGGCTCTTACGCTTTTCATCAGGAAGTAATTCTGCTTGCAATATCGCTGCGGCCCCCAAAAGAATCAGTAATGCTGGCCCCGTGATGATCATAGCCTACAGAAAACAAGGGAAATGAAAATCTAA